AGGCGAGGGACTCTCTGCGTGCCATTTAGTAGGCTCAGCAAAGACCTCCATGAAATTCTTCCAGCAGAATGATTTTTTTAAAACGTTAATCACCATTACACCTTCCTTTACATCAACAATCAATTCTTACTTTTGTTTTTTTCTGAATGCATGTAAGAGTATTTTTTACTAAAGTGGAATCAAAGTAACTAAGTTTGCCTTTCTTCCACCTCCACGGACAGTACTACACCACTTTTTGTGGCCCTTTTCTACCTTCATCTCTCTACTTACCAACGCAGCCACAGAAACATGCTATTACTTCGGAAATGTTTCCTTAGTTCTGGATGACAAGGGGCTGCCTAGGTAGAAAGCTAAATAAATAAACAAACAAATAACCAACCAACCTCACCTTCAAGATAAAGTACCCTCTCTTCAGGGAGATGCAACGGCTTTGGCAAGAGCTGGGAGCCTGGACCTGCTTTTGCAAGCCAAGAGCTACTGCTGCAGCCAAAAGTGCCCCTACAAAGCCTACCTCTGCAGCCCTCACAGCGTGGATTTATGGATTTCTCATTTCTGTCTCTGCTGCCACACAGTGAAATTAAACTGGCTGGAGTCCTGGGACTTTTTATGCACCTAGAGGAAGATGTAAGGGGCTTAGGGCATGGGATACAACTTCCCTGATCCTCAAAAGACAGGCACGTGTGCACGACCCCTGAAGGAGATCATCGGAGCAAGTAGTCTCGTGTCTATTCCTATGCTTGAAATTCAGCACATGCAGGAAACTTAGCAGGACTATGGTCCTTTTTATGTTTTTAAACTCTCTAAGCAGCTTTTTAAAAACTATAGGAAGGTGTTTAACTTCAACAACGAAGCACATTTCATAAACTTATTTTCTAAAGAACACAAATTTAAAAAAAAACACCACATTTTGTGGGTAAGAAGGGGCAGGATTTCTTCATTGCTTCATGCTACTTATTCGATCTATTTCATCAACACCCAGGCATGTGATGAATTTTCTCTTTTTTTTCCCCAGCATTTTACTGGGGGATTTAAATACTTTTTCTGTGTCCGTCCCCCCCCATTACATTGATACAGCTTTTGCTTTTTATTACTTCTCTGCCTACCTCCTGAACTACTCATGACTATTGAAAATAAATGTTCAAAATACAGTAATAGAAGAATGCCTCAACATCTTCAGAGGCTGAATATCTCAATGCAGCATCTTACAGTTGAATTTTCCTATAAGTCTTTACCTACTTTTAGCAAGATATATTTTACAGCCTTATTACTTCCTAAATTATTCTCTTAAATGAGAAATAGAGCTGTCCAGGTTTTCCTTTAATTTTTTCTTCCAGTCTGTATTGATTTTAGATTTTTCTACAGGTTCAAAGTTCTTGTAATAATTCACTTTATTTTCTCTTGTACTGTTTTCAGCATTTACCTTTGTTTTAAATGTCAGAGCCTTTCACTTCTGTTACTTTGATTTCCTTGCTGCCTCTCTTTTCTCTGCAAGCCCCAACTGATTGTGTATTTTGGTGTGGTCTCCCCATCTTTTTCCACTTCCAATAATATTTTTTAAACCTCATTGTATCTTCGAACAGTTTTGTTTGGTTTTTTTTTGCAAAAACCACACTGACCACTTCTTGTTTTTTGTAATCTTCTTTTCAGAGGAACTGCAGCCTGCTGTACGTTGGCTACGAAGTCTGGGCAGTCCCAACTCTCTTTCCACGCAAAGGGATTCCAACACATCCTCTTGCAGCATGATGCTCACTGACTTCCTTAATTCCACCAAGTGGATGCACTGAAATCCAGTGCTCTGACCCAACTGTGAACATTTATTTCATATCAGGTTGAATTCATGTCATATTTTGACCCCTTACACGATTCTCTTTTTTTGCTGTCGACGATACGTTCTGAAGTGTTACTTCAGAAAGGCAACTAAACACAAGACATCTGACTTCAGGTTTTAAAGACAAGCAACAAGCTGTTGTAACAGAAGAGAAGTAAGAGAATGGTGTTACAATAAAGAGATGCCTGAATATATATTAATTCAGTACAGATGAGAAAATATGTTTTCAATACTTAGGAACATGTCTGATAAAAATGTAGAAAATGTAGACTGGCAAAATTCATAAAGAAATCATATTTCTTGGAAAGTGAGGAAGTCAAGAAGAGCTTATGACCATCTTAATATTTTATTGCTCTGAAGCGAAATCCTTTACAGATTGAGCTAACTGGATGACACTTTCAGTTAATACCAGAAGCTGAGACTGTGATTAACTTAGAATGGACAACATTTAACAAAACAACATTGCTCCAGGTGTTCAACGATTCTCCCCGAAAGCCAATAATGACACATATTTGACGTTTCAAACTTCCACTCAACATGCTATTACTACTTACACACCATTTTTTTTTTTTTTTTTTTTTTTTTTTTACGAGTAAATACATGTGCATCAAGCTGTTTCTTCAGTATTTCATACTATAGGAACTGTACGTGGTATTTTTAAAGCACGTAACTGAACTGGCAGAATAAAACAGTTGACATTAAAAATTGTTTGAAAACTCAGTGCACTGTTTCTGAAAAGTCCCACTCAAAATGACTGTAAATACAGAAAAAATACATTATTACCGCATGATTTACTTGCGAGTCATGATTTCAGTTACAAAACTAAACCCATTCCTCACTCCCCCAAACAAGACCACTCTCTCTTAGTAGCTCTCATTACAGCTTCCTGCATCTTATACCAAGTCCCAGAAGGGAATTCAGTGTCAAATCTTCCCTGTTGGGAAGATGGTTCTTGATCTTTGTGTAAGTATATCTTAATAGCAGCGAAATTGTTCTTCCCTCCTGAGCCCCTATTCCCCTCCACACAAATTCAGTAAGTGATGGTGAAAAGAAGGCTGACTAACAAGAGGGAAGACAGTGGTAGTAAACCTGTAAGAACAAGATAAGAAGAAATGGCAATGTTGTGCTCCTCCTTACTTCTGACTATGCGAGAGGCTATTAACTATTCTACTCCTTAACACCAAAGAATATTTTACTTGAATTTTTAAAAAACTTCTACTAATCTTATGAACTTGGAGCGCTTTTCTGTTAATTGCCAATGAAAGCAGAACTTATTTCAAATGTGAAGGTTATCATCAATATTCCAATAGAAGGGAGAAACAAAAAAGGCAGGAACATGTTTTTAATTAAAAAAGAAGCAAGAAAATAAAAGCTTCCCCAGAAATCAGACTTACGACCACTAAAACTGTAGACGGTAACAGAAAAAGAGATAATTTTTAAATGCAAAAGAAGCAATGTCCTTCTCCATATTGTATGTGAACACTTATTAGTCATCTGTATGTAGTAATGTTTATTACATACTCAACAGTTTATAGAAGTTGAGTCTTCCAGTCACATCACAATCACTCTACATCTAGAAAGTAACAGATTGATACACTGAACAGCATGAGTAATACTCAAATTTAAGATGGCATTTGATAAAAATACATTTCTATGTATTTTAACAAATGAAACTGAGATTGCAGTGCACCAATGCATATTTCTTCATGAACATACACAGCCAAGAAGAGTGTATGTAAACAAAATTGGTTTAAGTCCCTTCACCAACTGAAATACAGTAGACAGAAAACCATTTTATCAAGGTATTTATGACCAGAAGTCTCACGCAGCAGGATACCCCATACCATTACTCAAAGAGTTGTATCTCAACTTCTTTTTCAGTGAGATTCCTTTTGTTTTCTTCAAAGTCTTCAAAGGAACTGAAGAAGTACAGAAAAAAACGGGAGATGCTTAAGCACATTTGTTTCTTGAGTTGCCTGCATTGTGTTGTTGTCTATGTTTTCATCATTGCTGACGAAGAAGCTTGAAAACAGGTCAGCTGCAAGTGCATGCTGCTTTTAAATTTGTTCAGTAACTCTTCTAGTAACCTGTAAAAGGAAAATAATTACAACTCTGGCAGATTCTGAAAAGGGAACAATTACAATAAGTTTTGGCTATTCTGTCTGTGACTTCAAGTACATTGTCTGCTTAAATAAAGGGCCTAATTTGATTTATTAAAATATCTGAATATTATATATATTTAGAAGTTTACCAAGTGTGTCAGGATGATCTGTGGCCAGAGGAGGACTTAGCCACAGAGATTTTATCAAGGTGACAATATAGCCCTTTACATGGCTTTCCTTCCAGATAAAGATCATCTTCTTGAGACAAACATATTTGCAAAACACAGTGGCAAAAGGACTGGTAGAGAGTGCCATAAGATACCGCTGTAAGGAAAATCCGGAAACTGCCAGAATATGTACCATAAACCCAGTATCCCTTATCAAGGGTATGGCTTGTCACGTGGAGCTGAATTGCGAATTTCAGTTCTCAAATTTGTCTTTGGAAAGTCTTTTGTTGATTTCTCTTAAGTGTCATGGCTGAAAGCTCAGAGATGGTATGACTGTTCTAGGAGAAACGTTAATTCGCGAGCAACCATGTGTTTTTGTCCTTTATAGATAACAAACTATGTATGAGTTCATTTTGGTGCATAACAATGGCTGGTTTACATCTACATAGCTGCCAAGAAGGTACTTGGTGCAGGGGATAATATTTCTTATAATCCACAAACTACAGGTGTAAGACCAAGAGTGTTGATGCCTCTGTTGTAGGAGATATTTATTGTAACAGTGGAGATGCATTATGGAGTTTTACAGTCTTGCCTGTGTGTTTTATTTTCCCAGTATTCTAGGGAAGAATGTGTTCTCCAAACTTTTTGCTCTATTTCAAAAACAAGCTAGATAGGGCAGACATGTATCACCTCAACTTTTTGGCAAGCTGGGATTATTGAACAGCCAGTAACAGAAGAAACGATGCTGTATGTTAACAAAACCCAAACAAACTCAAGAATAACAACATGAACCACAAAATCAGTATCTGCTTCCTCAGCAGGTCCTCTGGAAGATTACTATGGCCACATTCATTGTTTAGCATCATATTTGTGACTGTGAATGAACAGCTTTTAATCAGCACACCAACATGAGTTAATTTACACAAATATGTGTAGACTACAAGGTGCTGCGTGGAACGATGACAACTGTGGTGTAACGACCTGGGAAACAGAACAAGTTTTGCATTGTCTAGGGCTCAGAACTCTGAGGCAGACGTAAAAATGATGCAGTTCTTGACTCTCATCTGCCCCATGAAGCTCAAATGCTTGTGACTAAACAAAAAGAAAAAAAAATTCTACAGGTGTTTCGGAAAGTCTGAGTTGAAAGGACTCTCCTTACTCAAAACTGACTCCTATCTTTAATAAAGCATAAGAGCCAAGTAAGGCAAGGAGGCATCTTGAGACTTGTTGTGGCTAGTGAGGAGTAGGCTTGAATAAATAGACAGAGGACATCTCAAGAAAGCACGATCTGCAGACCACGGGCTGCACAAACAGTCTCTTCATGTGTCTACAAAATATTCTAAATTGTGACTGTTAAGTGCAAACTGATTTGATGCAGTTCAGTTCCTTAAAGTACCATAACACCAACCTCAAGTTCAAAAAAATTTATACTTATAGTAATATACTCATTACAAATCCAGCCTGGTTTTACCATACTACTCTTTATTAAGCTATGCTTGTAAAACAGACTACCAAATACTAGGTTGGATGCAGCAAAGCAGCTTGGCTGTCAAAGGTTGCTACTGTGGGGAAGGAAGAACCCAAAACTCCTCCTCCAGATGTTAAGAACGAACCACAGACCCTTCTTATTTGTTTTTAAAGTGAAACAGGCTAGTTTTGAGACTTCCCCATATATTAGCTGGCAAAAACTTGGAATTTTGTTCCTTGGACTTTTTTTTTTAATTATTGCTGCTAAATTCAGTAGGACAAGACAATGGACCTCACAGAAACTTTAAGATTAACAAGGAAGGGTAAAATAGACTGAAAATACAAAATAAATACAAAGCTACACTGAACTGATAGGACTAGGATGGGCAAGAGGGATATGCCACAAAACCATTGGCCCTTCCATGTAATTTAATAGGCCATGATGAACAAGGACTTCACTTATTCTTAACTCTGTCCAAAGAGGCTTCTGCTCTCTAATTCAGAAGGGCCAAATACAGTGAATGTTAACCCTCTTATAACAAAGTTCTGACACAAGACTTAAAAGGGAATGGCTCCAGAGACCAGAAAGGAGGCAAGAAGGTGCATTATACTCACTTTTTGTCAGTTCCACTTGAGAGCTGAGGCAAGGCTTCCAAAGCTTGCTTAAAGCTCGAGCTGCAAGGAAAGGAAAAATACTCACACTCCACTGGTACAAGTATCAGCATTTACATGTTCTCTCTACAAATTCCGTGGAGATATGCTATATCTTACCCATTCTTATTTCAATAAATTAACAAAATATTAACTTGAGACCTGACATTCATGTGCAAATTGAACATAAAGCGGTCATGGGTTCAAGCAGGCCTCTTGACGCTCCTAATGTGATGTATACCATACATCAACAGGAAACGTGAAATCAGCAGCTGATTTAAGACTGTGCTTGACATCCTGGACTCTTCAATAATTTACAGGTAGTTGCCAGCCTGCCTTCTGCCTCAAACTAAGTGACCATCAGCGTACGAAGCACAGCTAAAGCACTGATTTGGGCTTTCTGCACTCGGTAGACAGGTCACTGCATTCTTCCCTACAGACGGAATTACAGTAGGTTTGCATTGAGTAATGTAGATTCATAGAATAATTTACACTGGAAAGGACCTCTAGAGGTCTTCAGGTCCAGCCCTCCTCTCGAAGTAGGGCCAACTTTGAGGTTAGAGGAGGTTTCTTGGGGCATTATCCAGTCAAGTTTGGAGTAACTCCAAAGATGGGGTTTCCACCCCTCTCTGGGCAAGAGATGTGGAACAGAAGTGCGGAGAACAATGCAGGACCTGCACAGATAGGTACAATCTTGTCAGCAAAATATTAATATGGTGACCTGTGGCAAATACTACTAGTAACAAATCCAGGAATAAAAAAGCATCTATGAAGCTCCAGCTTCCAGGGTTCACTGTGCTTTACCCCATGCTGACTAGAGACAATGCCACCTCCATTTTATCCCATTTGAGACAGTGCCAAGTAGTTTTCATTTAGAGGTCTTCAGCACTATCACACACTCGAATAGGGAAGCAAGCCTTCTGAAATGGAATGCAGTGACACCATAGGATACTATCTGTATATATGAAGACACGTTAGGACCTCAAGCCCTGCAATGTCTCCTACAAATTGTCGATTAGGTAAGATGATCAAATTGCCATCTGTAGGAACTTTGCAATGCCAATCCTAAAAGAAGTGTAGGTAATTAAGATAATGAATGAACCTGCCCATATCCAGTGCCCAACATAATCACCTAGAAATTTCAATCAATCAGCTTTACTCAAAACTGCTGACAGCTATCATAGTCTGTTTTTACATGCCTTGACTGCATCAGCCACTGATGCTGTTAATGCTTTTCTTTCTCTCTTTATGTTAATGTGTGTCCCACACCGTATCTTTGGTTTTGTACCTCAGTGAGAAATGATAAATTGCTGAAAGCCTTTTGAAGGTTTTCATTCTAAGAGACAGTGTGATGCTGAATTCACTTTCCCTGATTAGGTGTGTGGTATATTGTACAAGCTTGGGGAGAGCCCTAATTCTCCATATCCCTTAAGGGGATCCTGCCAGCATCCGGTTCTGTAGCCTCTCTGATGTGTCTGGCAGGTTCTTTGCCATCTGCTTTATGAGATTGCTGTGAAAAACTAGATAAAACTCATTGATGTCTGCTTTTGCCTTGTTTTAGAATAATTTTCCTCAGCAGCTGCACTGCTGTTAAGAAGTTCCACTTTTTTTTTTTTGAGTGGCAAATACTAGTTTGTATCTAAAAAAATCAAGAAAAAGTAATTATTTTCTGTCAACTGATAAAACCTTGCTAGTAAACCAGTTTTCACATATTTACCTAGTATACCACCTATTCTATCTGAAGCAAAATTTCTTAATCCTTAATTTACATTTTGTGCTTTTGCATAGAATTAAGCCTTTGACACTGTCTCCCACAGCATTGTCCTAGAGAAGCTGGTGGCTCTTGGCTTAGACAGGTGTACTCTTCGCTAGGTAAAAAACTGGCTGGATGGCCAAGCCCAGAGAGTTGAGGTCAATGGAGTTAAATCCAGTTGGCGGCCAGTAACAAGTGGCATTCCTCACGGCTCAGTTCTGGGGCCAGTCTTGTTTAATATCTTTATCAATGATCTGGATGAAGGGATCGAGTGCACCCTCAGAAAGTTTGCAGATGACCCCAAATTGGGCGGGAGTGTTGATCTGCTGGAGGGTAGGAAGGCTTGGCCAACAGCATCCTGGCTTGTATCAGGAATAGTGTGGCCAGCAGAACCAGGGAAGTGATCGTGCCCCTGTACTCGGCACTGGTGAGGCTGCACCTCGAATACTGCGGTCAGTTTTGGGCCCCTCACTACAAGAAGGACATTGAGGTGCTGGAGCATGTCCAGAGAAGGGCAACGAAGCTGGTGAGGCGTCTGGAGCACAAGTCCTGTGAGGAGCAGCTGAGGGAACTGGGGTGGTTTAGCCTGGAGAAGAGAAGGCTGAGGGGAGACCTTATCGCCCTCTACAACTACCTGAAAGGAGGGTGTAGCGAGGTGGATGTCGGTCTCTTCTCCCAGGTAATGGGTGATAGGATGAGGGGAAATGGCCTCAAGTTGTGTCAGGGAGTTTTCAGTTGGATATTAGGAAAAAATTCTTTACTGAAAGAGTGGTCAAGCATTGGAACAGGCTGTCCAGAGAGGTGGTGGAGTCACCATCCCTGGAGGCGTTCAAAAAACTTGTAGATGTAGCACTTGGGGACATGGTTTAGTAGGCATGGTGGTGTTGGGTAGATGGTTGGACTTGATGATCTTGGTGGTCTTTTCCAATTTTAATGATTCTATGACTATTTTTACCAAGGATTCCATTACACTGAAACAACAGACATTAGAGCACATCTTACTTGCTTTCAGGTGTTAGGTATATGGCCACGGTATCTCTCAACGCACAGATTTCAAGTCTCGCCTAAAATGAGAAATACAAATACTGAAACAATGACACAATGTCCTTTCATCAAGTGAATACCAGTATCCCAAACTACTTTTTTAGAGGCAAATATCATTGCACGCTGCAGCTGTAAGCAACCTTGGCTTTTAACAGGTTGTTTCCTGTATTTTTGGTTGCCATGCTGCTATGCCAGGAGACTGCTAAAAGAAACAACTTCATGCTTTTGATTCAAGTCAAACTGTTTGTACGGTCACTATGCAGCAGTCTGAAAATACTGCTTTGTCTCTCAGTAACAGTAATAAGTCTTGAGGATTTACCTTAATTTGTCCATCTGTGTTTTTTTTTTTTGTTTTTTTTTTTTTTTTAAATTAAATACAGTGAGCTTAACTTCTCACAGCACGGCTTGGCCAGGGAGGAAGGAAACTAGAGAGTACAAAAAAATCTGTCAATACATATTTTATTCATGGTTTTCCTGTTGAATTTATTTTTTTCCATCAGATGAGGAAGTATAATGGTTGTGCTCTGCTTCTTGTCTGTCACCTGGTGGGCACACAGCCTTAGGGATTTTACTCCTGCACTGTACTCTGTGTCTAGGTATTGATTTTCACCTAGGCAAACTATGGCAGAAAATGAACTCAAAAGATTAAACAAATTTCACAGATCATCCTTTAGTGTTTGAAAAGTAATCATTATCATCACAGGTTTTATATGAAATAGAAATATTCTGCACGTGATCAACACTAAGCCATTTCATTTAAAAATATAAAGTGAACTTCATCCAAATCCATATTTTGGTCTTGTTCATCATTAAGCTAAAACTTAATCTAGTTAGCCATTACAGGAACTGATCTACATTTAGACCCAACTAATATGACATTAATCTTCCAAACCAAAACTTTTTATAATGCAACACAGATATCTAATTCCAGTTCTAATGAAAGGCTTTGGCTTTTAGGTCTTCCCCTCATCCCTCCCCTAGGTAGGAAGCCAGCTGAGATTTATGCTTTTTTAGTGCCAGAACTTTTTGGCACAAAATACGACATAGCCACCCACCGATTTTATAATCTCTAAGAAATGCTTTTCTCACCACAGAATGTTTCACCTCTTTTTGTATAGTGCTCCAAGCTGAACAGCCTTGGACACTTTGACTTCCTACACACAAGATTCTGAAGTCTTTCCTACATTTTAGGAGGTAGCAGGATCATGGGGGAAGTGTCACATTCTCAAGTACCATAGCCTAAATAAACATGGTAGAAGGGCAAACCCTGCAAAACTGCAGGTCTTGGGACGTGGGAATACAGATTCAGACTTCTCCTTGGGAATGGGTGTTTTTTTGATCAGTCTGACCAGGCTCAGGTCACTCTCACATTGCTACTGTCTGCCAGACCGGATTTTCTATGTTCAGATGAACAGAAAATGAGCATGAGTGACAAATTTACAGAAGAGAGAGGAAATCCTTTCAATTATGGGTTTAGGCAGCAAGCTCATATGGTGGGTTGTCTAGTCAAACAAAAATGATATATGGGTAGCTTTGTTGCTATTCATTGATTTGGTTTTAAATAAGCAGTCAATCTTATTTGGCTGGGATCTTCCTACCTTAATTCTATATTCAATGCAATTATTACCAGCAACTGGAAAATAAGGCTTGCAATTGGATAATCACTTTCCCCTCATGATGCAAGAATGCTGTCATGTACAATTAAAATTGGGATTTTGCTCTTTTTTCCTGTTACAGCCATAACAACCATTGACTCAAAGGGGTTTTTTTAAAAAATATTTTTTCTTCGAGTCCTTTAAAACTTACCCAATAGTAAGTACAACTACCAATCCACCCATAAATGAAGAAGGCAGTGTAAGAGTATCTGTTCTACCCATGCTGCAACAAAGTGCTAACGTAGAAATAGCATAACAGGCAAGTGACTAGTTTTGCAAAGACTTGCAAGATCCTACCACACCATATTTTCAAGATTTTAAATCTCAAGATACCACAAAATTGTTTCTTCTCTTAAAATAATTTTTTGACAACAGCCCAAAGACAGTATTTAACAACTCCTTGAACAGATACCATTATGATGCTTTTTACCTCATAGGACATAGGTAACCTTTTATGCACTCAGATGCAAAGTCAACACTAAAATGTAATCAAATCCAAGAACCAGTATCCCAAAGAGTATTCATGCATAAATCTGAAATAGGCTGTATACTAACCCTTTTTATCTCCTTGCTTTCACTGCTACAATAAATCCAACAAATACACAGATTATATCTTTCTCTGTTATTCTCAGTTTTCTAGACTCATACGTTTGAGAGTACAAAGTATTCAGGTACCTGTAAAGCTCCATTTTTACTGAAGGATGAAACACACTGCATCAGGCGGCTCAGTTCTTCAGAGACTGCTTCTACAACCCTTGACATTACCCGAGGAACCAAGTCTTTGGAAATGGTAAACACCTGATTTTTATGAAAGAATAATCATGAGCACAATACCTATATTAACAGAAATATTCTCTGCAGTAACATTTCAGTAAAAAGCATTGAACACTGATTAAAAGGACCACTTCATTTTTATCAATGGACAAAAAAAATTTCAAAGCAACTGGAATATGAAGGATTTCTTTTGATGCTTGCCCTACGCTTTGACAAATCACCTCTGTTAATAGCAACGTTAGCTATACGATATGCGATAATGACAACTTTCCAGCAATGCCTAAAAGCAGCTAGACTTCAAAATATGCGCTCTCTGGCTGATGGATGCAGGTAGTCAGGTGGGTTGCACGTGGACTGCTGTTTTGCAGATAGCACCTTTCACTCAGGGTTGTGTGACTGACTGACCCAATTACACATTCAGCTACTTTTTACCCACGCATTTTGCCATTTCTTCTACAATCCTTTATATTTGACCACCGTCAGATGGCTAGTGTCCTTATGCTCTGTGGCAGAGATAAGCCTTTGAAAGGGCTTGAGAATATGTTTAGATACTTCCACCATTGCTATTTATTAGTTACACCTTACTGTTTCTTCCATGCGTCAAGACCATCTTTTTAATTGCTTATTTGTACAACTTAAATCTAAAGTGGTACCTGGATCCTCCATTTGAGGTTCAGAATAGCAACTGCAACACAATAGCAACGCAAAATCAAACATTAGATCTATGCATGAAGAAACCAATCTTCCTTAAGGGGACCTTTAAGGAAGTGAGAAGTTGTTGGTCAATTAAAAATAAAAAAAAAAAGTGTGATTTTTCTACACAGAACTGGGGAAAATGCAGGCCAAGAGGTTGGAATATAGGAGGAAGTGAGATTATAGGTTAGACAGACCAAACTTGTGTCAAGACATAAAGGTGATGATAAAGCTGCACTAGAACTGCACAGGGTTGGGGAAGAAGATGACACAAGGAACTGGAAATTATGTGACTGGAGTGGTGCAAGAAGGAAAATGAACTGCACAGATTTTTTTAAATACTCTCCCCCACCCCAATTTCTGCTTTAAAATAAACTAAAAAATTAAGTAGTGGAATGATTTTTTGCTAGAATATCTTTGCTTTATGTGAAGTTTAGGTCTCATGTCTGACAAGGAAACGTAGTAATTGACAGAAGATATTCATACAAGTGTGTAAAAGTAAATTAAGGGGGGGAAAAAAAAAACCCCAAGATTCCGACATAGTTTTTAGGGATTTAAGTAATGAATTGTGTATGAGGGATCCCATAAAGCTGACCGTTCTGAAAAGCAGGTCTGCACCACAGGCTGAGTACGCTGAGCACGTATATGTCAGCTATCAGCTGTTATTGCTAATTCAAACACACAGACTGTTTTAACTGTTTTGACCCACAAAGTGGGTGTAAGTGACATACTTCGCTGTACAGTAAGAAAAAAAAACAACCAGTAACGATTTGGGAAGGGGTCACCTTATTCAGCAGCGAATATTGCTGAGCAATTCAACACAAACATACCAGGAACACACCCAAAATCTTCTACTGAGAAGAGAATATTTGTGCCCACAGCGAGCACTCTTGAAGTTACTATACAGAATCCAGGAAAAAAAAATTCTCAGCAATGGTGAATCATCACAGGTTTGCAATAAGAAGCCCTTATTCTGATTTCAGTTAAATCTGAATTCAAAGGTAGAGAAACAATTTTCTTTCCGCTTCAGTCCATACTCGCTGTTCAACTGATGGTTAATTTTTGCTGTTTCAAACTACAGAAACTTGCAGCTTTGCTAACTAAACTTAAATCTGACCCACCTTACAGAATTTCACCAGAAAACAGTGGAAATAGGAGTTTCATCTTGACACACGTTTTCATATTTATGTAATACTTCACATCTAGAAGTTTATGAGGCCACACTATTTGGGCCAAAATCAGTATCGGTCTCAATGAAGTCAGGAAGGCAGCACACCTTTCTGCTGCAGCATTTTAACAAGTATGCATGTTTACAGGGTTAGCTCAATAAGTCACAAATGCCTTGGAATTTTTTTAAAGCAAAACCTCTCACTTTCATTTTATTAATTTCCACTACACCGAAAAGCAGCAGTAAAAATGAATGTCATCTTGGTATGTATTTTTGGTGTTGCTTATTCCCTCATTCAGAGGCATTTGGTAAAATCAGCAATGCTTCTGTGAAAACTGCTATAAGTAAATACTGAAATCGAATCAAAAATATTGCAAGTGATATTTACACTTCCTGAAATTACTTTAATTTATATGAATCCTTGTAATTTAAGGAGGAATAAAATAAACAAAACCATCAAGTGAATCTCAGATTTTAATTAGATGGAAAACGTAGAGCAGCTATACTTGTGGTATTTTGAAAGGTAAGAGTGATACCACTACCAACGCTTATACCAGGAGCAATAGTAATCTGGTAACACTCTTGATTATTAGAAGGAAGTAGCATGTAGAATATGTAATTTAAAGGACTATAGAAAAGTCCAGCATATTACAGGCCAAATAACTGTAGCTCTGCAAGCATATTATTTCGACAATAACATTTTCATTTTAATATGCACTCCCTATCATAAGCCATTACCTATCTAAGTATTTCAAACTCAATTTGTGCTGTACAGGGACTATAAAACTTTCTGGTTTTAGGTTTCCACTTTTTATCCTATGTACAAGAACGGCATATATTTCCTTTTCACTCTGAGTGGCATATGTTGAACATTTCTTCCAAAGCGAAGCACAAGCTCATTTTCATGTGTTGTGGAAAATTAATCAGAGAAAGTGAGCATCACCTCTCTCTCTCTCTTTAATCTGCATGAAAAGGGACGAATTGAACTTTAGATTCTGGATTTCCTCTTCATCAGATAGTGGAAACAAAAAGGTGTAATGGAGTGTTACTGAGGATAAACAGGAACTGTTCATCTCCTGCCCTTGAAGTGAGCAGTTGCGTACTTGGTTGGCGAGACCTAACCCAAAGCACTTACATCTATAATGAAGACACTTTAACAGAGCTACAATTTTCAGACGTGATGAAAGCCAAGATTTACCATGCAAAGTACACTGAAATTATTCACATGAATGTAAGCATGAAACAATCTGAAGTTTTTTCTCACCTCTGCATGCACAGCAATGATATTCACTAATGCTTCTTTCAAATAGTTTCTGACACCTGAAACAAAACAAACAAGATACTTTCATTCTGTTGTCTCAACAAAGCCATAATATTCTACTGTTCGATACTGTACTTTTTCTTTTCATTCTTTTACTAGCACTTTTGCAATCAGAGGCAGAAAGAGAAAGTTCCATAGCCGCACCGCCAGTCTATTTCCTTTTTCAAATCAAATGGAGAAAGGCACATTTCCTTACAGCAAAAGGTTAAAAAAGCCAGCAGGTTCCTCTTTCAGTAGTATTCTTCTCTGGCAACACAATTTCACCAACTTTGTAACTTAATAAAAACCTAGCATTATTAAAAAATAAATTCTGGATGTCTTGCTGGAATACACATACTGTGGCACAGAACACACACTATAGCTTGGTAGGTTCTAAAGAAACAGAGAAGACAAGGGGTTTTGTTTGTACAACAGTCTTCGTACAACAGTCTTTCAAGAAGATCTTACTACTTTATCAGCTTCTCTGACTGTAAATTATTGTTATACATAGAAATAGCAAGGACTCTTGTTTCTCTGAAAATGGTTCAGAAGATATTACTCATGGCAGTTTATAGGAGATGTCATGCCTTAGCAGAAATTTCCTCTTGGGGAGGGCAAAGACAAATAAACATTTTATTTACCAAGCATATGAAATGCTTGTCAATTTATACTAAAAAAGAAATTCTCAGGGCATCCAGCAGGGTATGCTTTAGTTAGGACAGGCTCTTAGTTCCCTAGACTGCTGTAATTCTGGGGTAACTTTCCAGACCTGGACTCCCGTTGTGTAAGATCTAAAATAGGCAAAAATCTAAAACTGCCCTATTTGCTTTTCTGGGCACTTTACTTTGTAGGCAAATTAGAAAGCATTTAACTCATTAAAATCTGCATAAACATTGGAAGTGCAATACAAAGTAATGAGAGAGGGTTACTGATCCACATGACCCCAGCTTCTAATTTCAATTATTCTAGCACGAATCAGAGAAAGTGAATGATGCCATCGCTCCCTTCGGAGTATTCAATCGACAGTAAAAGATCAGAATCGTGGACAAAGACTGGTGAGACCACACGGCTCAGAGATCACATTGTGATTAAGGCTGCTGTTATAAAAATTACAAAGTGAACCCTTAATCAGTTCATCTTACTTGCTCCACCTTTCCTCAGATAACACCAATGCAGCAACTTAATCCTGCTACGAAAAACAGCTTTAAAAGGAGTTACCAGAGATCAACAAAATGAGTTACTCTATGGGAGAACACAGTCATGTCTCCCAACTGCCATCTCAGTTGTGCTCATTTTATTAACCACTGGTCCCACAACTCACCTCGAGATCTAAAAAGGAGACATTTGTTCTTTCTTACTTAGACAATTATGGACAAACATTTTATAAGGGTAGGACGAAAGGATGACAGGACTCCCCTTGCATGAGATACGAACACTGTCATTGCCTGCATCTACACTGTGCAATGTGATGCAGCCCGAAGTTTGTCTCCTGGAGGGCATCACGGGGCTCCTGCTGGAAGTGAGGGTGCTTAGGGGAAGGTGGAGGGAGAAATGTTGAACAGAGACTCCTGTTCCAATGTGCAGTCAGGATGTAGCTGAGCTCTGCACCCAGGCCCGTGTAACAAGACAGTCCCTGTTTCAAAAGTTCACAGCAAAGAGGCAAGTGTGAAAGAAGATTTTACTGCTCTCACTAAAACCAGTTTGGTTTCTGAACATAAAGAAGAATCAAGACCTTTTTAGAAGGAATGTTCTATTTTCACTCTGGAAAAGATGCAAATAACTGAAAAAGGTAAAGAAAAATACAAGCCTTTCCCCACACATTCCAAAACAGCTCTAATGCTTTTTCCATTTAAACTAAACCAACAAGTCAAACAGCATGCTATACTAGGTTGCAAGCTTATATTTTCTCCTTATCTTAGTGGTTTTTTGCAACAATGAAGGAAGGGAGGGAGGAATAGAGCAATACCAGAAATTTTATGAAACTGACTTTTTTTTTCCCCTCCCCTGTAACCTGCAAAACAAAGTAAGAATGCTACACACTGCTACTTGAACCACACCAAAAGATCACAGGTATATGTGGAAATGCAACACCCCTTTCCTTTTTCCTCTTCTACTGTTTTCCTTCTTCTACTCCACTCTGCCCCAGTTTAAATCCTCTGCAGGCTTCATATCACAGAGGACAAAATTTGTATTCCGTCCCACAAGCAAATACAACTTGACCAGGCCCCAAATGGTGGTGTGCAAATCACCTCGGGAGGTACAGGGCGAATTTGGGAGCTGGTTTGCAGTTAACCTCAGGGTGCAAAGTGTTGATTTTGGTCTGCAAACCCATGCGGTATTCAGCTTCTGGCTGCCTACCAGCCTCATCTGGTGACAGCAAGATCTTTCATGTGGAAACTGCGTGTTTTTACTTTTGCACAAATGCTGCGCAAGATTGAGGCTTTGATGGTCTCCCTTCTCTACGGATACCTGAGCATGGCCAGAACACATTCATTAGTCAATCAACATTTCACTCATGAGCTAAGCAGCATTTCTATGCCCCACTGATGGCTCTCTAATGCAGCAGCTCACTCAACCCCTGGTGCAGCTGGGGAGCCCTAATGAAAGTACAGAGAGGGGGCTGCCATGTCAAACAGAGAGGGCAGGCGTATGTCCTGCAGGGAGGAGGCCAGCTGCCTGAGCTGGGAAGAAGCGTTACCAAGGAGGCGAGTGAAAAGCTGGAACATCTAGAAACCAAAGCGGGTGGGTTGCGTAAGTGTGACATGATTTCAAGGAAGAATCCTCGTTTCCCACCCATCCCACCTAAGCTCCTGAGGTAGTGTGCCTCTTCTCACGCGTTCATGCAACTTGGCTCAGGATAGGAGCTGCTGCTTCTGTCTGCTGGTGCTGAGCGCACCCAAATTAAACAACTCCTGACTCTGCTGGTAAAACCTGCCTACCAGCTATGTCTGTGGAAACCTACCATAACATATTTCTTAGGTCAGTCACTGAGTTACCATAACCAGGTACAGTTAATTTCTACAAGCATGAAATACATCAGCAACATTAGCACCAGGTGTTAAATACCACTGCCTGGTGGTGCACACCTAAGATATAAAATGGTCATTTATGTCTTCTAACTGAAGAACTCAGAATGAATTGACTAAACGGAATTGAGATGGAACCTATCGTAAAAATAAAGTGACAGTAGCTTAGTATTGCACATTGCTAGCGCATCCCAAACCGTACGATAAAACTGTTAACTTACCCCTCACTGAAAGGGCATAAGCAGACATATTTTATCTTGCAACCTTGTACCATGTACAAGGACAAAAGGGTGAACTAAGAGCTTAAAGGAGATTATTTCTGGCAATCCCAGTAGCACTAATTAGGTGTTCCCGACCTTTCATAGCAGGTCCAGTCCTGCTACGACTGCAGGATCAGGGGGCTCAACACAAGCTCAAGTATTTCCTCAGTTTCTTAGACAGGTTTTGCAATTTAAGAGCAGATAATTCAGCACAATCTGTGCAAAACTATGCAGTTTAGAGACAGTCTGTGTATACAAAACTGTAGTTGCCTTAATTGCAGCACCTAATAGTCTAAAAGACCTTGTCTTGTTAAGCTAAACAAAGATGGAAAGAAAATGCAATTGCACCCCCAAAATACAAGTAAGTGGAAATTGCACTCCAAAAATACCAGTAAATGGGATCAGAGAGGGAGAGAAGGGAGAACTAGTTAAGCTGAAGAACAATACACAAGAAAGGAAGGTATAAATGAATTGATCATCAGTAAGCTTAGGGTGGAGATTAAAGGTAACTGTAACAGGTTTGCTCTGACTATGCTATTAAATAAGCGGTGGTGTGACAACCATTGCTGTTGGGGAGCCAGTTTCCTATCATGAATAGAGCATAAGTAAAAAGGGTATTTCCCCCCAGCCCTTCTTTTCTTATTTGTGAAGGATTTTCATTTTTCTATGTGGAGACAAAGCCAAACATATCTGAATGTCAGGACCTGCAGGCATAGTTAATAACTGTACTATATTTTGAAAAACTACAATTAAAAAATATCCAATTTCTGATTTATATCACTGCACTGTTTGTGACAGGCTTTGTTGAAGCAAAGTATTACTTTTCTGGAGTATGATTCACTGGAAATACAAGCAGTGGCATCCAACTGTGAATATGTTGTGAAATTCATTTCAAAATGAAAGAATTCTGTCTAGAATAGAATTTCTGTGCAGCTTTCTCCACGACTGTTCAGCAGCCCACGCAATTACAGTTTTTGGGACACCATGCTGCCAGGCCTATTATACAGCACTGAAAGCTAATGCACCATATAACTGTAGGTTGCAACTATTAGGCTAATCAAGTGAAACATAACATTCTTCAGTCTAAAATACCTCTTATTTAGCATATTGAAGCAGAAATACAATGCCTTTCCATAGTTTCTGACAGAAATGTGTTAAAGAAAGTCTCAACAAACCCTTGCAATTTCTTTCAGGAAAATGTTATTATTCTGTTACAGCATAAACGCGTTCCACTCCCACTCTATTCTTAACACCGAAGACTCTGACTTGCTGGAATTCTAGCTGCCGCTAACAAAGCCCCAGTACTGCTCTAAAGAAAAACGGATGGGAAGACTTAAGACATAAAAATGAAGGACAGTTTCAGCCATCAACTATCACAATGGCTGACAGAAACTTTAAAATAGCACCTTCCAATTTTGGGCCCTCCACTGTACTTTTTATGTTATCATCTAATGTGATTATCCATTAAATTTAATCTCCAGTTTACATCACCTATTAATTTTTTTTTTTTTTTTTAACAAATTAAACCTGTCAAAGTCTACAAGCAATTTTAACAATATCATGAAGCTGTAGCAAGGATGACTGTGTGAACGATGGGAAAAGCAGAAGGGAAAAAGATTTGTGGTTCTGAGGAGTAACAGAAACTAAACTTCTAGCTTGCCAATACAGGAGTCATTCATGAGATCTTCAGATGGCGTAGTGCTACCAGTTGTCCCACATGTAGTTCTCAGAGCT